TGTAAGACACTTACGCATGTGAAACGGCAGTTTCTTTGCACTCTCTGATGTCATTAATACGCTTGTTGTAGCTGCAAGTAAAAAACAATACAGCAATGAGTAGCGCAATTCAGCGAGAGCTGAGTGGGACTTGAGAGGAGCTGCAACACTATGGCAAGCAGGATATGGCAAAAAGCTCACACAAGACTTACTGCCCTGACCAGAGCTAAGTGCCAAAACTGGATACCCAAACCAAAAATACTCTCTACTGAAGTGCTCCTGGTGTTTGCTAGTAGAGGTCTCAACTTTGTTTCTGTCTGAGTTTTCATATGATATATTGCAGAAACAGTGGCAAATAGATGCAGTTATTCAAGCAAATGCTACATTCATGACATCATTTCTCTTCACTAGATTAAGATTTGTGGGCAAGATAATTCATTTTAACTTTTGCCATTTTAGAGAGCGATTCACCAGACTTTTTCAGAACTCAGGTTAAAAAAAAGGCATGATGGTTATGAAATCAGGTTCCTGAAAGCTACACATTAAAGAAACAGTCAAGACACTAAGTAAAGGATAGTCAGCACACAAACATTTTAAGTACAACTTATATGAAGCAGAAGTAATATTTTCAAAAGAGTTCTTCAAGGAACTACATGTTTTTAACAGAGGTTCTGAAAGAATAAAAAGAGAACAAAAAAACTTACCCTCGTATGTTTACAAACAAGTCTTCTGCAGCTTTGTGAATATGGAATACTTCATCTCGAAACAGAGCCAAGCAAGAGCTGCTTTGAAGTGCAAGCTTCCAAAGGTTCAAAGCTGTAGCATCACTATTTAGGATTCCATGGCACAAAATAAACCCAACTTCAAAAGTTCACATTGATTTGTGTCACAAACCAGATGCACAAAGACAGTAAGAGAACAGTGAGATTATTAGGCATTTTCTCTTAAATAGTTCAAATAGTTCATTAATAAATTGTTTAAGGGATAAGATTGGTTTATATATATTAAAAAAATCCACAATGTTCTAATGGAGGTAGTTTTGTAGTATTTTTGTAACATGAATGACTTAATGCTGACACTACTCAGCTATTTTCATCAGAATTACTTAAGCCCTCACTTTTAGTCAAACTCTGGTATAAATTGATGACAAACTCCATTCCAGTAGCATATGCTGACTTCTAACTTCACTGCATGTAGAAGTATGATGCATACAAATGAGATTTAATCAAGTTCTGTAGAACAATCTCATTTGAATACAACAGCTTTTCTACAGTACAAAAAAGCAAATAGTCTTTTAAATGTTAACTAATTTTTTTTTAATACAACCATGAGCTGTTTCAGAATATTTTACTCACAAATGATCCATTTTTCCATTGCATCCAGAGAGAGGTATTCACATGGCATCTGTTGAAAAAAAAACGTAAATTGTAGCAAACTTATTATCTAAAAGACAACATATTTCATGAGTACTTTTTAGAAAAAGGGACAAATAAAGCCTTAAATGCTGATGAATCATGGAAGACTGCTGCTGACTATCAACTCATCCCTTTAGAAACTGAGGGTTTGAACGTTAAACGAGCTTCCATTCCCTCCAATACCTTGAACAACACAGTGAACAAATTTTGACAAATGTTTCGGTTCAACAAACATTGTATTTAAGAATATTTAAGAACAAAAGGCTTTTGATGTATAATAATCGCAACCTAAAAGCTATTAAAGTTTGAATCTTTTTCAGAAAGAACACCATTCATATCAACAGAGGCAGCAAGCGCAAACAGTACAAATTTTAAAAGAAGCATCAGTTCTGATTTTCAGTCTGTTGGCTCACAAATGTCTGAGACGGTAGACACGATTCCTTCCTTCTACACTACAGAAGTTAACACTTCATCTTTTGATTATCAAACACTGGAAATGAAGGCATGAGCTAACAAAACAGAGGCTTTAATTAATGCAAGAAAACTTTTCCCCTGTACTAAAGTATTCAGCTTTCCCAGGCAGCCTATTTACTACTCTGATTGAAAGCCACATAAAGGAAATCAAACAGAACACATTATTTTATTAACTTTATCATATAACGCAAATTAAAAGGCCATACTGTGTCAGACTGTGCAGGATTAAGCATTGTACTGGGGGCACTGATGAGGCTCAGTAGTTGTGCGTTTCTCCACTGGTCAGCTGAGAGATTTCTTCGAGGATAGACCATCTGGAGTGAAATCAGAGCATCTGAAAGGGACTAAAAAGGGGACCAATGATTAGTTTGAAGATGTCCTCAAGGCTCAGTCTTGGATAAATATTCAAGTTCTTTACCTCATTTTGTGAGCTGTGTATTGACACTGCCACACTCCAAGCACAAGAGACACTAAGAACTATTTTATCAGTAGTGCTGTTTTCTCAGCATTATTGCTACCAATATTCAAAACATTTTACTGAACTAGTTCTGAAATTAAACTTGAGGATAAAATCCATTGCATACAGTTTATTTCATATATAAAAGACTATTCTGGGCTAGGGGAAGGATGAACAGAAGCAGGAGGGTTGATTTTTTTTTTTTAATTAGAGTTATAAAATTCTGAGTTCAGAATTAGAGGACATGGAAAAAAAATTAATAGGGGACAAAAAAAAAATCTGTCAAGTACAACTGGAAGTTGTTCATTAGCTGTTCAAGCGTCCCAATTATTGCGTTATACCTTTCTCTGCCACTTCATTTAGTATGTTCTTCCTCTTTGCTAGCAAATTATAATTATTTTGAACAGATATTGTCTACAGGAGCATCTTCAGGGCAGATCAAGCTTAACTGAGTAAGTGTGGTCCTACACCTTTTCGCTGTCTTTTGCATCAATACTGGTGCCTGTACGAGTCCTCAGGGAGCCAGGTCTAAGCATTAAGCCAGCGGAGAAGGTCACTCGGGGGGTGGGGAAGGGAAGTCATCTGCTGAAGCTAATTTAAAGGACTAAACAACTGCCAGGTTTACCACAAAGTAGTGAGATGATGAAAGGACAACTTAAGTGTGCAGTTCCATGGGAGCGCAACTTAAGTACGTGTTTCTGTAGAACGGTGCCTGAAGGGATCCCTGACCCCAATTTATACCTTTAGCACAAAATAAGCAGAAGAGCAAAAAAACACAGACTGAAAAATGGCTTTAAAAACATTTCAAGGGAAAGGATTTGTCCATTATTAAATTACAAGAGCATAAACAAAGATAATATTGAAAAGTGAAGCATCTTTGCCAAAATGTGCATGAGAAGAGATTAATTGCAAATGAGGTCTTTAGCTAAGTGAGTCTTAACAAGCCTGGAATCGTGCAGAGGAAAGTAATAAAAATAAGGCTACAGATTATTTAGACAAATGAGAAGTAGTCAAAAGCTATTTAACTTTAGAGCACTTAGCTGGAAAAGTCTATGAATTTCTAGTTACTATCTTTAAAGAGTTTAAGGAAATTACGTAAAATCTCAAGAGGACTACAGAAGGAAAACACAACTAGTACCTACACTTCAAAACAGGGGAAAAAAACAAACCCAAACTTTAAAAACTTGAGGCAATAACTTAGTATTTAACTTCGTGTCAAAGATTAGAAAGTAAGTTGTTAGGCAAACAGTTTGCAAGCACCTAGAAAATGACACCTTTATAAATAACAGTCGGTCACTACTGATCAAACAAACGTAGTTTCCTCTGACTGAGTAGCAAACCTAGAGGACAAATGGGAAGTGATAAACAGGATATACATTGACTTTGGCGAGGCTTCTGTCGCTTTTCCAAGATATTCTCATATGAGGATACGGCCTAGATAAATTTATTATAGAACTGCAGCACAACCAGCCGTGTAAGAATGAAATCTTAAAAACATTTGTACAGAAAAGGCTAAATGAATTGGGTTCATTTAAGTTAGTGAAGTCAACTGAGCAGGGTATGCAATGTCACCTTTTGAGTGAGCTATTATTAAAGAGGCAGTGGTGATCTCCAGGACACGCAGTTTAAGGACAATCCAAAGCAAAAACCCTCAGGTTACAAAATAGAAAAACACATTCCTCTAGGAGGGTAAACCAGCAAAAAAATGCTTCATGGAAACATTAGGAATCTCCTTAACTTCAAGCTACAAATGAAAACACAACACAGATGTAGCTATTCGCAGATGATCTACAACTGATTTTTAATCAATTTCTCACCCTTAGTGAATAAAATGGAACCTTACCAATGGGTCTTAGCATTCCTTTATTTCTGTACGTTCTGTTATTTAACAGGATATTAATCCCCAGCCCCGAACATCCACTATAAGTAAAATATCCTGTAAAATTTATACCTAATGGCCTTTGACAAAACAAACTCTTGCATATTTATTTTTTTATCTCTGCTTCTCTCAATTAATGTTACTGTGTGCCTGTGAAAAGTAGTTACATACTTTACTGTGAGGTACAAATTCCTCCATCATTTTCTTTAAAGGATTTTCATAATCCACAATCATCTGGCCAAGGCGTGGATATTCTCTGTCACTAAAAGCAACAACAAACAATTCACTCAGGTGTAGCTGTTACTATTATTATTGTTATACACATTTCTTACACAACAAGCTTTTACCTTGCTCCATGTGTCATTTCATGGGCATAGTTATACAGTCCAATGATAGCCTTCCTTTCTTCAATTCGAGACAGCAATATCATCAGAGTTGTATAGGTTATAATCAAATCTAGGTAGTTCTTTGTTAAATCAAAGTTTACAGTCTAGAGTTAAAAAAACAAACAGTAAATTATCATTCTAAAACAAGCATATTTTTTTTTCCTTGCCTTTCCATGGATTTTCAGTGTGTTTTAAATACAATGGACTGTTTTGAACAAAGTTTTTGTTCTGGTTGCCTACAGACTATGAATTATCTTAACTTATCCACTCAAATATCCAGAATTGTTTGCATTCATGAAAGCAAGCATGCAAATACATCTTTCCAGGCTTAAGTGTCACAGGTTAGCTGACAGATAGGAAAAAATTTCTTGGCAGTTACTAAGCAGTCAGCAAGTGCCTTGCCTACGAATTTTATTTCAGTAAGACGCTGTCGAAAAAAAAGCTAGCATATATCCCACTGGCCTGGTAACATCATTCCATAGGATATATACCCACTCCTCTTCCATATTATGAACCTAGGTCAGCCAAATTTAGAATAATGACTAAAACCAGCAAGGTGACATCATGAACATCAAGGATGAAAGCTGAAACAAAGAGGAAACGGTGTTCAAGGTTCTGTTTGGGGGTTTTTTGGTGAGGGGTTGGGGGGGGGGTGTTTTGTTTCTTTTTTTTAAATGTAATATTTTTATCTGCTTTTGTATTTGTTTTAGCTAACATCAGAAGTGACCGCCTCACACAGCTTTGGTGGACACGAGTAATATTCCTGTCTCATGAGCCTCATGTGGCTTAAGCATACAGGTGACAGTGAGTGCTAAGAATTAACTTGTAGGTGCAAAAAAGCAAAAATTGCAGCAAGATTTTTATGTCTGGTAACAGACAATGCTGTTACTACTGTCCTTAAGTAGCCTGTTTAAAATGGTCTATCTTCTGATTTCAAGCTATTATAAAAGTTAGAGATCTGAAGAGTACAGTGGTTTTGTTTCTCTTGTATTTATAATAACTACAGATGTCATGTTTCTTGGGATAACATAAAGTCCTTTTAGTTCTCCACCCAGGACTCTGATCAGAAACATTTTTAAGTGGCATTTCAGAGTTTAAACCCAGAAACTTACAATATCAAAGAAGACTTGGCAAACATCAATAGTGTTCAGCAGCTCACAAACATGGTCCTTGAAAAACAAAGGAATAACTTTAGTTTAAAAAGATCCAAGTAAATCACTTTACTAAGCCTAGTAATGGAGACTTTTTTAAGAACAGAGCTACAAGTTCAGCTATGTCATTATATAGTGTTATTTTATAAATAAAAACACAGAAACCTGATGTGACAGAACAACTGACATATTTGTAAAACCTTACCTTAAATTCCATAACATCAACAAACGTGAAGTAGTATAATGCCAGGTTCTTCAGAATCTCTGATTTTTCTTTCTGGAGCTGAGCAAGCTGTTGCTAAAAGAGAAACATAAATATGCACACTGTTCTTAGACAGTCTTGAGAAAACTGCTGAAAAATAATACCTGTGAAGCACAGAGTAACCACCAGGTTACTCTTACACTACGCAAAGAAGCCTCAACACGGTTTTCTAAGACTGAGGTTCTGTGTGTCTCAAATACACAGAGTTCTCAGAACAGATCATTTTAACAGCTGCCAACTGTACTTTGAAGGTAAAAGTCAAATTAGTACACATTAGTACTGAAGTCATATTGTTTAGGTCAGCTCGAGATGAAAATGGGTAGTTAGGAAAACAGCGTTATCATATGTATAATTAGCAAAAGCAGAACAGTACATGAGCACAAATCAGTACAAAAAAAAAAAAAAAGACGTTACTTGAAGTGGGAGAAAAGAAGGTGGCAGATTACAAACTTTACTACAGAAAAACATTATGCTTTTAAAATCTGAACTTACCAAAAAGAATATCCAGGCAAAGCCACGTTAAGCATGCAAAATAAAATGTAGATACAAACATAAAATACAGTAACGGTTCTTTGACCAGTTCCATATAAACACAATAATACATTCAAACAAAAGCAACAAAATAAAGAAACAAAAAAAGAAGCAAAACACTAGCATTAGACACTGGTGGATAAAATGGAAGAGGCAAATGTGAATACAAAGGCATAAAATAGTTCACATGGCTTTTTTCTTTTTTCTTTTCTTTTTTTTTTTTAAACAGACAATGAAATATCCTTTAGTTCCATATTTTCCAAAGTTTTCTGGAGGAACCAGGCAGATCACGTAGAATCACAAAATAGTTTGGGTTGCAAGGGACCTTTAAAGGTCACCTAGTCCAACACCCCTGCAACAAGCAATTACAATTAAGAACACAAAAAAAAGCAGCTGTTACTGAACAGCCATTCTATTTATCTACGTATTACAGTAGCACAGCACTGCAAGAATCCAATTATTTAACCTGCAATATCCAGCTATGAATTAAGTCTCCTTCCTGCTACATGAATTGAAATAAGTTAAGGCAGTCATAACACTCCATATGAAAAAGTGCCCTCCAAAAAGCTACAAGATTTTAAATTAAAGACTGATCAAATTAAATAGGATTTTCTTCTCAGCAAGAGCACTCAATTATAAGAAAGATTAAATTAATTGTTTCAAATTGGTTAGCTTATTTTTATATGAGAGGTTAGAACTGAATACACTTCTTCATCTCCCTCCTTTGTAAGGCTGTGCTCAGTGTTCTCAGTTTTATGTTAAGCACTAAAATGACTCTAAACAAAAAAAAAAAAACAGACTGCCTGGACCACTACTGCGTATCATATACAAGGTAATGTTTCCTTCTTTCCTCGGAATTTTTAGAGGTGATTACAATTTTTAGAAGCCTTGAGCCATAAGACTTCCATTATAGCCATGGAAGAGAGAGATATACAGAGCTATGAGCAAATTGGAACAACTACATTAGAAAATACTCCTGCCTACTCTTAAACCAGTGCAAAGGATTTAACTTTGAAGGCCTAACTTTGAATGCCTGCCCTATGTAATATTTAAGTTTCTTTGACACAGTCATTTGCTGGCACTTAAAAGAAAAATGGGTGCAAGTTCATGTGTTTATTTTGTAACTTCTCCTGATAATTTCATGCATTAGGGAATTATTTCCATTTAAACTGCTGCTGTACAAAAATCTGTTTTCAAACGTAAGTTCCATGAACTGTATTTTGATCCTCAGCACGAATTTGCTACTACTTTTCCCAGTGTATACCTTAAGCTTTAACTGCCTTGTGCTCAGAGAAAGAAGCATCCAGCATCATCAGCACGCAGGAGTCTGGAGCTCCTGCAGGTCTGCACAGCCCCAGTATACCTTCGGGCCAACTCGCATCTCTACTCGGGACCTCCCGAGGGGAGAATGTGCTTTGTACTTTCAGGGCTGCTTGTCAGTTGACAGTTCTTACACAATGAAAAATCATCACCTCAAGAAGCTCGGTTTTCATTTTCACCCTGGCCCTATCACTTGAAGTATTTCTCGCCTGTGATCTGTTTTAAGAACACTACGCAGAAATAGGGTTTGTTTCTGTGCAACTAACACCAGCATCAACGTGATGAACTTGAGAAGTCATTTCATGAATTTTCAGGAACAGACCACATGATATTATTCAGAAATAAGACTAATTCAAGAAAGAAGACAAAACCAAAACTCATAGTACAACTGCACATTTGCATTAACAACTTCTTTCCTACTGCAATCCTAACTCGTACTAAGCAAGGTGCAATGCTAAGGGAGACTACCAAGATTGTAGGTTGTTGCACACAACATCTGTCTTTGGTAAAACAAACAGCAACTGAGCGTCCACTTCTGGAGGACACGACAATTTCTGTGTCACAATACATGAAGTGGGAAGATACGGGGAAAAAGGAAAATGGTGCTGGGAACTATGACTGCTAAAGAAAGAATCATTTTTCAGAAACTCCGTGAAGCTGTGCATTAAATAAGAGGATACAGGGAGGTATTCATTATACTCAACCAAGAATTAAGGAATCACTGCTGTGCATTGTTAAGTAGTTACCTGTACTCCCAGAAATACTTAAATGATGCTAAAACTTTTGTACGGAGTTCAGGTGATCGTTCTTTCAACTCTTGAGTGTTGAAGGTGCCAGCAAACTTTCATTTAAAATACTGATATCAAAGTAAAACAGTATCTCAACTGTAAACACTGTTAAATTAGCATAGTGCAAATAGTTAAATTCATACAGCCTGATCAGTGATGTTTAAAAGTACAGCTTACAGCATAGAGTGTCTTAGATGTTTATTTGCATTTTTATCACTGAGGAATGTGGGCGTAGTTCTTTCCACACCCACTGCAACAAAACTTTCCACTACTAGTTTCCTAACAGCTGTTTAGAAATAGCTGGTGCTGTATCGTTTTGTATTTGGTTTAAGGCTTTTTTCCTTAGCCTTCAATTCCATTTATCAGCAAACATTTCTGTTTCCAATATTCAACAATAGCTTTAAAATAAGATAAGCTGAAGAAATAAACTCTTAAAACATTATTAGCATCAAAACATTATTTTCACTACAGCTAACCATGCCTTGCTGATTGGTTAGACATAAGTGTTTTATTTATTCTTAAAGAATTTAAAGTATAAATTATACCAACAAGGACAACAGTATTTTTGTTGAATGAGGTGATTTTAAATACCAGAGCGTGAAGCTGACACTTCGTCAAGTACAAGAGAAGGAACTGATCTTTACCAACTTGTCTTATGCCGTTCCTTCTTCGTATTAACTCCCCAAAATCTTTACACAACCAATTACGTACACAAAGAAAGTGCATTAAAAGAAGCGGAAAACCAATTGGAAAGTGCAAGACAGCCTCACTTAAAGCTTACATGAACACAACGGTTCAGAGACAAGAAAGTAACAACACAGACACTGATATATTAACAATGTGAATAAATAGGAATTTAAGATGAAGGCTCAGGAAAAATACGAGACAATTAGAAATGGTTGTTCAGAGAGTTTTATGTGCGGAAAACCAGAGAATAACTGCAGTTCTGTAACTGTTCTATCATATTTATTTGACTGGTGGCAGTAGTATGTGAATAAATGTCTTATTTCATGATCCAGGAAAAGACCGTAGGTAGGGGAATTTTCTCCTTCTTATATCAGTGTGATGTTTTTCCTGCAAGTACAATCATTAAACACTAGTATTTGTTTTCCACAAACCAACACCAAAGACATTACAACATCCTCAGAGAAAACACCATCAACTTAATCTTAGTAGCTGGAATAAAAGCCCCAAAAAGCAGTATTACAAATTCTGACTGTTAGAATTCTGGGTATGGGGGTAAATAATCACTGTCAGTATTCTTAGTGTAATTTATTATGCTCACTACGCTTGCCACCTGGAGAGTCTTTAGATGTCACTTTTAAAAATTCAACTCATTTGAACAAAGTTCTGTGTCTACAAAACCCATAGCAGAATGGCAGGGAGAGAGAGAAGGATCTAATCAAATGAAGAAAAACAGCTTTAAATTCTGTAAACTAACTGTAGAATGATGGATGTGTCCTTGGTTTTCGTATTTCCAATTAAAAGCAGCCTCTGAAGTGACATGCTGCATATAAAAAGATGTAATAGAATATTTAACATGTTTACTAACTAATGTATTTCTACTGCAAGATCTATTATTGGTTTGTTTTCAAGTTTCTAGTACTAAGTTAACTGTTTTGAAAAGGAAATAGCCACCCATGACCCTCCACAACCGTTAACTGTCCCTGGGGTTGACCACATTATTAATAATGGCAGACAATTGAAGCAGTAAGGCTCCTCTTTAAAAACTGATCTACCCGTCAGTCATACAGTTTCCCCATTCTCTCACTTTCTTCTACATAAATTCACAGAGTAATTCCTACATTAGGCTCATTACATATTATCCTATCTTACAAGCTTTGGCCACAGGTCTTGACATCCCCCATGCAACTATTTACAGAATAAAAGTCTTGCCTATGCTATTCTACAGATAAAAATGTTTTGGACATATGTCTCTAGCTGCCTGCATACTTACATTTATGTCATGAAAACATGACAGAATTATTCCTTCAAAATGCATGAAAACTAATTTTGGAATGCCATCTCAGTAACACTGCTTAACTAAAATACTGTTTAGGCATTAAAGAGGTTTTGTGGTTTCTTTGTTTTTTAACGGCCAAGCTCTTAGGCTGTCAATCATCGAATCAAAAGAGGATTTTGGTTTTAATTGACGAAGCAAACAGTTTAAGCATTACAAACATTCACTCCTTTGCAGGCATTCCATACACTATTAAGCAACAAGAGTGAGCACATGACTAGCTTGGTTTACCTTGGCAAGTGACTCATATAGGCTGATTTGACTTATAGCAGTATAATACAACTATTACAAAGAAAAATGAAATTCTATTTGGATGCTACTCCATCTCAAATTCACACATAATCAAGGGTTAAAGCCACGAGTATTAACATCACTGC